TGTGTGTGTGTGAGAGAGAGTGTGTGTGTGTGTGTGAGAGAGAGTGTGTTTGTTTGAGTGTGTGTGTGTGTGTGAGAGAGAGAGAGAGAGAGAGAGAGTGTGTGTGTGTGAGAGAGAGAGAGAGTGTGTGTGTGTGTGAGAGAGAGAGAGCATGAGCTGGCTGCAGGATGAAGTGGGTCAGAGGAGGAAGCATGATGAAGAGAGACAGGAACACAGACTAATGAGATCAGGAGTAACAGCTGAGATAACGAGAGCCGAACCTGATTGGCTGGAGCAGATGAAACCTGTCAGAATGTCTGATTCATTCACTGCACTGATACACAGAGAAACATCTGAAACACATTCAACAGAAGCAACAGCTCCTCGTGTTCTTCAAGCAGTGAAGCTGTGGTGTCAGGAGAGACCTGAAGAAATCTGACCAAACCCTTCCTTCCATGAGCTTCTGAAACATGAAGCGAGGGCCTGATTCTGATGATTTTAGCCACATAAACTGGGTTTGAGGAGACATTGTGGTCCAGTGATAGAAGCTCATGGTCTTCGTCTCTCAGCAACACACGGGTCTTACTGAGCAAACGTTATGAACAAACGTTCTTCAGTAACGCTAGTAGAACCTTCATTCAAAGTTTTCTGGCCTTCAAACCTTTCTTTTTTTAAATGTTGCTACTTGTTTCAGAACATTCAGAGATGGTTCAAATGTAACGTTTTCCTCATGTGTGTAAAATGATCAAATGGGATGTTTTTAAAACATTTAACACTTTGAACGTTCAGAGAGCATTCAAATATAATGTTTTCATAACTTAACGGGAATGCTAGTCAGAACATGTGTTTGTTCATTTCTGCTACATATGGTTCAAATGTAACGTTTTCCTCGTGTGTAAAATGATCAAATGGGATGTTTTTAAAACATTTAACACTTTGAACGTTCAGAGAGCATTCAAATATAATGTTTTCATAACTTAACGGGAATGCTAGTCAGAACATGTGTTTGTTCATTTCTGCTACAGTAACACGTGTGTGCAGTGATTTGGCCTCAGAAAAACATTCATTACACTCTATTTTGTTGCTAAATTTAACAACTTTTCACACTACCCTAGCAACTTTTTCTTCCAAAAGCACCTAGCAACAAACTTAGCTATTTTCAAAATTTATTTGGCATCTTTTAGCAACTTTTGATAAGTGACTCAGACGATAAAAAGGCACACATTTTCCATCTAAATGACACAAAAAGAGGAAACCAAAGATGCCTCGCACTACACGCATCACAGGAATTAAGTTAGTTGCTATATGCAATTGTTCAATTTAATAATAATAATAATTGTTCATTTATGATACACCTTGTCAGTAGCTTGTACCTGTGATTGTTGAAAATGGTTGTTGAAAATGGAAAAGGTACTAGTAATTTTCCAGGACATTATCTGTTATCCATTATTCATTATCCGTTGTAACCCGAAAACACAAAATACAATGCGTAATTTAAAATGCAGGTAAAAAACGTGAAAAATCAATATGGAAAATTCCTTCACATTAACATAGACTGTGCCCTATTGTTACGTTCTTTCACTGCACGATTCCGTTTATTAAAATGCATTTAGAATGATCACAAAATTCAAGATATGGGGGCAGAAATTTATATATTTATATAATTTCATATAGTTAATCAATATCACTCGAAGACTGATGTTTTTTCCTCCAAAAAGCAGCATGATTACAAATGTGAAATTGATTTTATACAGCAGTTCAATAAACAAGAATTTAATATTAAGACACTTACGTTTTAGACACAATATTGACTGTTTTTGCTCTATTTCACCAACAAATATAATTTAGTTTTGTGTGTCTGAGCAACACGACAGTGATTCGTTCCTGAATGAATCAACCGTTTAAATGATTCGGTTCAGTCGCAATGATTCACTTATTAACAGTGACTTGCTGCCACCTGCTGGCGGTTTTAATTTCACATTTAAAGTATCTTCATTTAAAAAAATATATAATTTCAAATATCAGTATTCAACGTTTTATGTTTAAAATATCAAAACAGTATTAATGCATTTGTAACTGCAGATTAAAGCATTCATGTCCTGCATTAAACAGCGTGTAAATGCATCTAAATGTCTCTTCAGATGCAGCTTCTGTGTTTCCTCTGCGTTGCAAAGATTAATTTTGTTAATACTGATTTCACACACACTATAACACACACACACACACACTCACTCACTCACTCACACTCTCTTTCCCACACACACACACACTCACTCACTCACTCACACACACACTCACACTCTCTCTCACTCACACGCACACACTCACTCACTCATGCACACACGCACGCACACACACACACACACACACACACACACACACACACAGTCCATGAGGAATGTGCCGATTATAAACTCATAAGAGCATTAGCAGCTCATTATTCTCAACCTCATGAATTATTCACGTTAATAATTCAGTACTCCTCAGTCCGCTAGATCAGTGCTTCTCAAACAGCGGTGTACCCTCTCTTCCACTTAGACGGCAGTCACACCTTTTTGTATTACACACACACACACTCACTCACTCACTCACACTCTCTCTCCCACACACACACACACACACACACACACACACACACACACAGTCCATGAGGAATGTGCCGATTATAAACTCATAAGAGCATTAGCAGCTCATTATTCTCAACCTCATGAATTATTCACGTTAATAATTCAGTACTCCTCAGTCCGCTAGATCAGTGCTTCTCAAACAGCGGTGTACCCTCTCTTCCACTTAGACGGCAGTCACACCTTTTTGTATTAAACTACATTATTCGCGCCCTTAAATTGATTTACAGGTGCATTTTATACCTTTATAGAGGCAAATATGTTCTATCCTTATTAATTGTATGTCATGTTTTATGTCATATTCTTAACATTTCATTAAGTGTATTATTAATATAATAAATAAAGCAATAAATGATGGCAAATCGAAGTGATAGCTGTAGCTAGATTTAAAAATAAAACAGCCAAGTCTCTGTCTGAATGAGCCAGGTGTCGCGTCATTCATTCATTCAGTCAGTCAGTCAGTCAGTCATTCATTCAGTCATTCAGTCATTCATTCAGTCAGTCATTCAGTCAGT